CATGGAATCATCCAATACCTTTTTAATATCGAAATCGTATGCTGGAGAGTCGCGTTCTTGAAATGCTAATTCATCAAACAAATCAATAAACTGGTCTTCATAGTTTGATCTCACTTCCGTTAGATACTGCACATCAACTTGAAGAACATAAAGCAAAGGAGCCAATAGTTCATGCATCCCTAAAAAAACCAAAATCGAAAGACGTTAAAATCACCAAAAACAATCTTTTCGAAGCACTAAGCAGTATCTAACCTTGTCTATAACCAATCTCAGGATGCTTAAGACACCACAAGAGAAGTATCCGTCTTAACATCCCTTGACATCCAGAGGATTGAAAGTAATTTCCATGTTCTGGATACAACCGTGAAAGATCTTGATCAAGCGTCTTCTCGAGCTCTGCGTTACGAAAGAATCTTCCCCAAGTGCTATCTACACAAATCCAGAAGACATTTCACTATTACTACCACCATCTCGTAGGAAATTGCAAACTGAATTTACTCTCAAAGAGTTGAATTTACCAGGATTCTGTGATAATGGATTATCAATTGTAAGATCTGGAGAATTGATTCCTTTCTTGGGCAAATGTGGATCAATTAAGAGTCGTCTTCTCAAAGCAGCATATCTAATAAGAAACCAACAAATAAAAATCGAAACTTTACCTTTTTTCTGAGAAACTACAAATCTCATAAAAATCGAAACTTTACTTTCTTTCTTATTTTCTGAGAAACTACAAATTTGTTTCCATGAAATTGAATCGGAGCAAACCCTAAACGTGAGAAAGGAGAAAAAATGTAGGGCAAAGTCAAAACCTTCTTCTGGAATCAGCGGTTACTCTGCGAAGGTCATCGATGGTGGTGGAGGAAGGAGAAGAAGGGAGAATTCCGAGATTTATTCGCCATCGGACGCCGCGAAGCTTCTCGAACCGGTGATCTCTTGACGGAGAGGCGATAGAAGTGCATGGGTCTTGCGTTCTCACAATCTGGATTTCTTCAGAAATCGCCATGTTTGAAACCAAATGCTCTTTGCTTCATCCAATCTTCGATTTGTCCGTGTTCGGTAACATTTCCAGGGAAAATTAACAGACGATTTTGGGTTTTTGATAATTCCAAAACTTTGTCATCTTTTTCTTTCGACGAATCGAATCAAAATATTCCTTTTTTTTTCATGGAGCTGGGAATCTGGGATTGGTTTAGAACCGAGAATGGTTTCTGGACTTGGTCTTTCGAAACGACGTAGTTTCATTTTTGTTGTTGTTCGTTAGATATTTTGCAAGGACCAGTTTTAAAACAAAAGTAGCAAAAAATAATTAAAAATGATTCGGTATTGGACCTCGTACATGTCCATTTCGGCCCAATGAAGATCCATTTTCACTATTTATACCATTTGAGCCTGATCTGGATCCGAATGTCCAATTTTATGTTCGACAAGATTTTGGAATTCGAAGGTGAGCCTACTACATTCGCGACCGATCACCATCTCAACTTACAAGTCAATAAGTATCACGAACTCAAAGAAAGACTCGTCTACAACATCGGAGATCGATGGTGCGTGGTCTCTAAAGATGTGGAACTCATTGAGATCGAACCCTCCTCTCCTACACATAGAGTGTCTCAAATTTGAAGAAACATTACCAACTTTAATAAGAAAATTAGTTCTCAAATACAAGTCATTTTCATTCTTCAACTTTATATTCATGTACTTGTTATCAATAAAAAAAAAAAACTTTCAATCCCCTTCCTATTAAAAGAGAAGTACAATTAGTGAAAATGATTATTTGTTTTAAT